GGAATAAGATTCAAAAATGTTGTATCGATATCTGAATTCCATGTGATGCCATGTTGTCGGTTTTGCCTCGCTCTGTCCAATGCTTCTTTCAAACCATTTTGTCCATCTAACAATTGTTCATAACGTCGAAGTTCATCTGTTAATTGAGTATTCGTTGCTACCAACTGTTCATACTCAATATTTAATTGCTTTATTTCGATATCCAATTGCTGCACGACTGTCATTCTACCCACTGGTCTTCGTACTTGTTCCATTCTTTGTCTCAGAAATTCGTTATGTTTGCTGAGTAAAGCCACTTCTTGCTTAACTTCCAACAGTTCAATTTGTTTGTGTGCCAACAGTTTGTCCCAAATGTGAATATCCACCGAGCTTGTGCGTAATTTTAATGTACGTTCAATGATATAGGTGTACAACTTTCTCACGTATCCGAAATAGATTTTTGATCGATTTTGTTCAATTTTTAAGTCATATTCCATACGTTTTTCACTGATCATTGCCATCAGGTGATCTTCAACCAGTTTGGGATAATTAAGGTGATCACGGACCAATGTGTGTTTCGATGACAGTGTGTTATATTCGACATCAAATTGCATCAATAAATCTTTGTATTCAATATCACGCATTCTCATATTTCCATCGCATGCTGTAGCTTTTAAAATAGTATCTTGCTGTTGTTTTAGGTCATTGGCATCTTTATTGAGTAACAAGTGATACTGATCTTTCAGTCCTCGGACTTTGAGCTGCTTTTCATTCACTCTTTGACGACGATCGATTATTCTAATACCCAGTTCCGTAATTCGACGTTCAAGATCTTCGAGTCTCGGATCTGGGCCTACGGGTTCTGATACCACCGCCACTGGTCCTTCCATCCGATTATAGAGTATTTCTGACTCATTTGCCTTTCTTTCAGAATCCATCCGTTCTCGATTCACTTTACGTAACGTATCTTGCGCTTCTTCGATTCGTTGATCTAACACTATTCTGATGCCTGCTGAGCCGCCCTGTCGAAATTCTGTTAATACTCTCAGTTTAGCATCCATCGCGTAAGCATCAGCTTCCATCAGCATTACTTTACTTGTGTAATAAGCAAACTTGTCATTTAATGCTGCTAGTTGTTGTTTATCCTCTTGACGTCCCATATATCCTTCATTCTGTGACATCCAAAGTGCGTCA